AACGTTCCTGCCCCTCTGTACCTATCAACCACCTTACAGTGACCCTTCCCCCTTACGAGCAACAACGCCTTGAGCAATTGGAAGAAAGGTTTGGTTTTGATCCTAAAGTTACTCAGATTTTTGGGATTGTTGGAATGGCCGGGATAGGTAAAACCATCCTCGCAATAAAGCATTTCAATAAGTGGAAACCCAAGTTAGCAGTAAACAAGAGTCTTATGAGTATTCATGAGAGGTCAAATTCGGAGGGGGAGGGGTCAGATTGGTTGGTTAATGAACTTTTGGATGATGATGCTAACATTTTCGAGAAGAAAAGTTTCATTTTCCTGGATGATGTGAGCGAGAAGAAACAAATAGAGTTTCTACTCAGTAACCGCGACCGTATTAAGAAGGGAAGCAAGATTGTGATCACAACTCGCGATAAGTCATGGATCGAAGGGCTGGTTGACGATACTTATGTGGTCCCTGGATTGAATGAAAACGAAGCCTTACAACTCTTTCGCTATCATGCCTTCAGTAACCAAGACTATACTAATTTCATTAAGCTGTCCAAAAAGTTTGTGGATTATGCTGGAGGCAATCCACGAGCCCTCGAGGAATTGGGGAAGGAGCTTTGTGGGAAAAACGTGTCTCACTGGGAAGCAAGACTAGAGACGCTGCCACATTGTTGCAATGAGAATATCAAAAGAGAATTAAGAATCAGTTATGACAAACTGACTGATCAACAAAAGGATGCATTTCTTGACATTGCTTGTTTCTTCAGATCAGAGGAGGAGGATTATGTAACAACTTTACTGGCTTGCAAAGACTCTCATGGGTCTAAAGAAGCTGGGAGGGAAGTTAGAGATCTCATCGACAAGTTCATGATAAGTGTCTCTGCTGGCCAGATCGAGATGCCTGATATACTGTGTTCATTGGGCAAAGAACTTGGTTTAATAGCATCTGTAAAAGACAATTTAGGAAAGAGCAGGCTGTGGGATCTTGATAAAGTTATTAGAGCTTTGGTCGCCGCAAAGGTAAGATTCATCAATTACAGAGAGTAGTACAAAATCAATGTTTTCATGACATCATTGTAGAAAAGATCAGAGGCTTATTTGATGGAAAGTAAAAGGAACTCCATTAGCTTTCTTGAAGTTGATATAGATAAGTTTTTCTTAATAGTTTGGGTATATTTTGAGTTAAACTTGGTAGGTGCTTTCCTAACTTCTTGTGTTTTTACCTGTTAACAGGAAACAGATAGTACCGTGAGAGGTATCTTACTCGACGTGTCGCAATTAGAAGAAGAAATCGCCATAGCCACAAATAAGTTGACCTTGATGCCAAACCTGCGATATCTCAAAATCTTTGACTCTCGCTGTCCTAAGCAATGTAAAGTTGTTGATGCTTATGACTGCAAAGTACACTTGCC